GGATTCATCCAGATGGGTTATTGTTATTGTATGTTTATGCAAATATTATTATCATCAATAAATCATGGTCACCTTCACAACCACTACACTTTTCACATTAACTGTGAATTTATAACCTGAATTATAGATGCCAATGCTGAGCCATGCTAAACCATTCTAAGTGGTCCTCAAAGGTAAATAAAGCATATATGATATTTTTTAAATCTAGTTCCCTTTCAAGGGAACTTGGAACTGCGTCCACTCATCGTGACCCGTGTCTGAAGCATACATTCAAAAAACACCAACAACACGTTGGCCGGCAACAGCTCCGCTCTCGTTTGTCTCTCTTTTTGAGGGGCTGCCGTCTGCTCCCCGTGATTCAGGACCCGCCGCTGCTGAGGAGAATGAGCTCATTGGGATCGCAGGCGGATCTGGCCGATGAGTTTAAAGAGGGGCTTTCCCTCTCGCGCTCGTCGGCTGTGGACGAGAGTGAGCCGCTGGAGGATGATGTTATTTCCCTAACATCGTCTGATCCAGGGGCCAGTTGTTTTTATTTTTTAAAAATGAAACAGATATGGATTAATCATTCACATTAAGTTTTACAACATAAATTTTCATTTCATGAAGACCTGAAGAGATGAGAGTAAGCAGTTCTTAGTGAGAGTAAGCGGTTCTCAAAATGTATGAAAGACAATATGATCAGTTGCCTTATTTGAATATAATCTGTAGGTGAAAATTCTGATTTTGATTAATTTTTCAAAATTAGTCACGTCATTTAAGTGATTAAGAAATTGAGAAATACAGGGTATTGCTTTAATTTTAATTAGTAATGCCTCACTATAGACTTGTGATCATTGGAGTACAGGGACAGCTAAAGCTAACCAATGTTACAATGAGATTGGAAAACTACAACTGAAAACTGAGGGCTATAAATACGTACACTGGGGGAAAACAAGGTGACAAGTTCTTGAAAACAGAATGTAAATGTGACAGCTGCATGAGTATCTAAACTTTTATTTCTTTGGATTCATCCAGATGGGTTATTGTTATTGTATGTTTATGCAAATATTATTATCATCAATAAATCATTGTCACCTTCACAACCACTACACTTTTCACATTAACTATGAATTTATAACCTGAATTATAGATGCCAATGCTGAGCCATGCTAAACCATTCTAAGTGGTCCTCAAAGGTAAATAAAGCATATATGATATTTTTTTAATTTAGTTCCCTTTCAAGGGAACTTGGAACTGCGTCCACTCATCGTGACCCGTGTCTGAAGCATACATTCAAAAAACACCAACAACACGTTGGCCGGCAACAGCTCCGCTCTCGTTTGTCTCTCTTTTTGAGGGGCTGCCGTCTGCTCCCCGTGATTCAGGACCCGCCGCTGCTGAGGAGAATGAGCTCATTGGGATCGCAGGCGGATCTGGCCGATGAGTTTAAAGAGGGGCTTTCCCTCTCGCGCTCGTCGGCTGTGGACGAGAGTGAGCCGCTGGAGGATGATGTTATTTCCCTAACATCGTCTGATCCAGAGGCCAGTGCTCTGCTGGGTTCGGCCCAGGAAGAGCAGGAGATGTCTGAGGAGGGCGAAGAGGCTGAGGCTGAGCCCTCCCAATCCTCCTGCCCTGCGTATGATGAGCTATTGGAGGTTATAGATCGCGACATGGTGAGGCTTGACTTGCCGTGGAAGCGGGCCAAGAAAGTGATGTCACGAGGTCGTCTCGATGAGCCTTATCTATCTGACCATAGCCATCCAGCTCAGGTGAGCCTTCCTTTTCTTCCTGATCTCCATACAGAGATCGAGAAGGAATGGAAGAGGTCTTTTTCCTCACGCATCCATGAGAAGATGCCCCCGTAGAAGAGACGCTGGCTAGCTATATCTCTATGGGTGAGACATCCTCTCTTAAGATTCCCTCCTTGCCATCTAAGCCCCTTCAGGATACATCTTGCTTAAATGGCAGGGCATACGCAGCAGCAGGTCAGGCTGTCGCTTCGTTCGAGTTCGAGTTTCACTACTAAGCAGGCCGCCTCGGCTATGGGCAGGTCCATCGTCGAGACGGTGGTTGAGAAGTTCAGGGAAACAAAGGCTTGCTCAGCGTCCTTCAAATCTTTCATTCCACGAAGGTCCAGGTCTGAGCCCGAACAACCCAAGGGTCCTGGCCCGTCTCGGTCTGATGATCAGAGACGGGCACAGAAAGCTAGTGTCGCAGCTTGCACTCCTCCCCCGCCTGCGGGTAGGGGTAGGAGGAATCGCGGGTCAAAGGGAGGTAGACAAGACCTAAGGGATGTGATCCAGACGAGGCGTCAGCGCTTTCGTCCGGATCAGAGTGATACTTGAGTATCTACGCATTTCCCTCGAGGGGGTTTAACATCTGCCCTTATCTTCTCCTTCATAATTCCCCTGTAACCACCATCTTTCCACCTGACTGAGGTTAGGTAGGAACTTCCTGCATTACAGTCTCATATGCTGGACCTATGATGTATCGGTTGATTCTATGGCTTCATAGTAACCACCTTTCTGATGGTCCGGACTAGAGGCTTCTTCGGGTCGCTTCTTGAACGGGGCTCCTGTGCAGGAACTATGGTGGGTGAGTACGATCCATTTTTATAAAACCTGTGCATTTCTGTCCTTTTCTAGGGTAGGTCCTCAGTGAGCACCCCCTCTGCTGGATTCAGAAACCGGGTTCTCGACTTGCAGTGATTACCTCACTCGTCGATGTTGTATTCAGTCGGTATGATAGCCCTGGTTCCGGCTTTGTGCTTCCTGGATCATGCGGCCAGATCACAGGCTTCTGCGGGAGCCTACTTGATCATCAGGCCCCCGGCACAGCACTGCAAAATTTCCTGGACGTCTGGGCTGGGCTTATGCTTTCAGACTGCCCTGTCTGGTACGCCGTATCTAGGTCGCCCTGAGGGGCCTCCTGGTCACCAGTATATCCCCTCTTGCTGAGGCATCGAGCGGGAAGTATAGGTGGCATTTGCGAGAACCTTCTTGTGAAATGCTGTCTCAGGCAGTGCTCCCCTCGTCTCAGAGGGCTATCTTTGAGCTTGCCACTCCCGTTTGGCTCAGTACTTCCGGGCATCTGTGAGCAGATGCTTGGGAAGCTCTTAAATCCATGCTATGGTAAGTGCACACGCTAAGCTTTGTGCACTTTCTGAAATCCACATGGTGGTAAGTGTGCACGCT